TATCCTTGGGTGAGGATTAATAACAACAACAACAACTATATATATATTTTTTCTCAGGTCTCATTCTTGTAGAAAGTCTGGGATAAACCCAAGATTCTGTATATCTGGAGTGATAAAGTACAATCCTGGTTAAGAACCATTGACCACTGGAAGGCCAGCAATAACAAGGCTGAACCATTACCAGTCCCTTTTCCTCCTCATTTCAACCCCTATTCTTGCTGGCTTCAAGAGTACATGGCAGGCTTCATGGTGAGTGTTTTCAGGGAGGAGATGCTGTATAGCTAACCTAGCTCTCCAATTTATGCTACCTCAATTTAAATCTATCAAGCAATCAATAAAAAATTGACAGATTTAATCTGTGCCTAGTAAATATACTTGTCCAAGTCATCATTGTGAATGATAAAGAGAGGCACAGTACTTGGAGCAATATGTTGTTCAAGTTAGAGGAACTATCCCTTCTAGGTGTCTAAATTTATAATGAGAAGGAAAGAAATTACATTATCGCTGTGCTGAAGCTTAGCTATCAGGAGGGGTGAAAAAAACTTCCTGTAACACCTTACTGAATATGAGCAATGTGTACTAGGGTTTACTGGGTGGAACGGTTATATTTTAAAGAAAGAACTAGAGTTCTAATCAAGACAACCCAAAATTATTGATTCACTCTTATTTTTAAGGTCTGCAAGCCCTTTTAGAACTTTGACATTTTCACCCCCAGGGAAATCAGAAGTGAATCAGACAGAATTGCTGATTTGCAAATATTGAGAAGCAGATCTTAGACATAGCCTCAGTCCCAGGTCAGGAGTATGGCTAAATGCATGGGTTTAGAGTCAGACATATCTGGGTTGAGAGTTTAGGTTCCATCACTTACTAGTTGTGTGACCTGGAGTAAACTACTTTACTCTGTAAGGTTCAGTTTCCCCTTCTGTAGTTTCTAAAATGACCTACGCTCTGTCAAGCTTTGGTGCCTCTGTACAGGCAGCTCCATCTGCCTCAAATACCATTTACCTCCTTTAACCTTGACTAGCTCCCACTTATCCTTCCAGTCTCAAATCAACATTGCCGCCTCCTGGAAGCCCTGATTCCCCAGCCACATATAGGTAATGCTTTTCTGTGTCTCCTTCTTACATGCCCTAAACACATCTTCAGTCATAATAAATGTGTGGTAATTGGTGGTTTTAAAAAACTTGTTTCTTCCACAGGAGCCAGGAAACTGAGGCCCAGGGGCTAAATCTGATTTGTGTAGCCATCAAGAATGGTTTGGGTATTTTTTATACAATAGGTTAAAAAAAAAGAATATGCAACAGAGATCTTAAGTGTCCCACAAATCCTGAAATATTTACTGTTTGGCTCTTTACAGAAGAAATTTGCTGATCTTTGCCATAGACAATAAGTAATTTGAGAGCAAGTACTATTTTTTCATTTCACTGTATGTCCAATTCCTGGCACAATACCTGGCATATAACAGGCAGTGAGATGTTTGTTGAATGAAGGAATGAATTAATGAGTATAACCAGTGTTTTTTAAAGTATAATTTATGACAGAATCAAGACACAACTGTATTTTGCCTCCCAATATATAAATAAAATGTACTCTATTGGGGTAAATTTCTCTTGATCCTGGATGGAAGTTTGGACAGCTTGCATGACTTTTCTGTTCATTCCTTCGAGAACAAACAGTCCTAAAATCACTCAAGTCACCAAACACAGTCTTGATTCAGTAATCAGGACATACTGAGTTCAAGATATTAATCAAATTATTCAGGCTTTACTCAGAGATAAGGTCCCTCCTTTCATCCTTTAGGTGTTGGCCACCTGCCATTGAAGATGGAGGGAGTGAGAGGTTTTTATTTCTCTCCCCACTGGCTAGCTTCTATTTGGACCTTCACCAGGGTGGAAGCAGGAACAGGGAGGAAAGGTAAGGGGATGGGTCATTTCTCCCTTGGTAGAACAAATGGTTTCCAGCTCTCTGGGTCTCTAGCTCTTCTTTGGGTTCCTTAAGGGTCCTCACCACTGACGACCTCTCTCCTGTAATTTGGGAGACATGGGCTGATGCATTTCTATTCATTTTGGTAGTTTACAACTCCTTCCTCAACTCCTAGGAATCCAACAGTTAACTCTAACTTTTTTTTGCTGGGGTCTCTCCACCCTGGTAGGTGGCTCTATTTATTGGACAGGATCAAGGGTGACCCCACCTTGTCTCTCTCTCCTGCATGGCCCCCATTTTGCTCCCAGGAAACACTCAAATATACCTTGCCCTGACAAATTCAGGAAATGTCGGCCAATCCCAACATAGTCAACCCTGTCTTCTTGCCAAGAGCCACATTAGCTTTCCTGGAATGGAGCTTCCACTGCAGAGAACAAATTTCTAGCTGTCTAAGTTGTCTGGTGAAACACTCTCTTACTAGCATTGCAGTGAAAGAGGTAATATCTCCCCCATCCTAGCACTTCTGTGAAAGATGGAGTGGAGTCCTAGCCTGGCAAGAGATCTCTGCAAAGAAATGTTTTTTAAAAATTCCTTCCTATTCTCCTCCACTACCTGACTTGTCTTTTTCCTCTTGGAACCTGTTTTGAAGCATTTCCTTTGTATACTCTGTATATGATAACCTGGCTTTAGAATTTCCCATCTATTGTAGGGCATCTATTATGGCTTTCTGGAAACTGAATTCTAATATCATGTGACCTAAGGCTTTTCTTTTCTAATTAGGTAGTGAAAGTTAGACAATCTCTGGCAAAACCTACAATTATATTCAAGTAGCCTCATTCTCTTTTGATATCTTAAACTTTGAGATAATAACATTTATTGAGCATTTACCAGGTAATGCATGCTTTATTTTCTCATATAATCCTCATGAAGATGATTTTTCCCTCTCTTACAGATGAGTCTCAAATAAATGAAGTGACTTCCTCAAGATAAGTAATAAAATATAGATCAAAGCTTAAGGGGAAATCCAGGCCTATTAGGTTTTAAAATCCATGGTCTTTTTGTTATACCACAATCTTCAAACTTTTCCACCAAAATACCCCAAATGGCAGAACAGAGTGAACATGTGTCCCTAGGAAGCCTGAGTAATTCAAAAAGGGACAACCACAAGTAAACATTTCTCTGAAGGCTCATGCTTGATTATAAAAATGCATAGAAAATTTGTATTATATTCTATAATATATGTGTTTATTGTCATATACACTATGTTGAAAATTGTCACTCAAATTACCTATGTTCTCCCTATCTGAATTTTCAAGTAAAATTGATCTTCTAGAAAAATGCACTATTTACCCTGTAGTTTCATGAATCTTGAGCATACTACTCTAGTTTGAGAAAGCCCAACATATCCCACAAGGTACTAGACTATACAAGTAAGGTATTAAGGATTTCAAAGAGAGCCTCAACCCATTGTAGCCAATGGAATGAGGGAAATGAAAATATATAAGATAGCCCAGCCAGTGTGGCTCAGTGGTTGAGTGTCAACCCATGAACCAAGAAGTCTCTGGTTCAATTCCTGGTGAGAGCACATGCCCGGGTTGTGGGCTCAATAGGGGGCATGCAGGAGGTAGCCGATCAATGTCTCTCCCTCATCGATGCCTCTATCTCTCTATCCCTCTCTCTTCTTCTCCCTCTAAAACATCAATAAAAAACATATTTTTTTAAAAAAAGGAAATATAGAAGATACAAGACTTGTTAAGGCGAATTTGGGGATAAAGGGAAAAGCACTGCAGTAATTTCTTAAAAACTGAGATAACACTGTTATTACTAAAAACTACCATTGTTATAAACTATTATTATTAATTCTCTGATAAAAACTGTTGATTACCATGAGTTGTTGAATGAATTATGCACTAATGATGTTACAATATTGGGAAAGTGACAGGAGGACGTTCAGCTGTTCATAATCCAGAGGCCATGGAGTATAGAAATTAAATCCCTATTTCTGAGGCATCCAAGACCCACAAAAGGTCAAAAACCACTGCTACAGAGAAAAAAGCAGAGGCTTTGGGATCACACTGTCTTGTTTTCAAATATTTGCACCAAGCTTACTAAAGTGCACGATATACTTCCGCTCTGAGACTCAGTTTCCTTCCTTATTTGTAAAATGAGGATAATAATACCCAAGTCAAGAGTTGTTGTGTGGATTAAATGAGATTCTCTACATTAAACACTTGACACAGAGTGGAGACTCAAGAAATGTTAATCTTCTTCCTGCCACAATATATAAAACATGGTAAGGTCATTTAAACTATAGGTAGATGAATCATTTGTAATGAAACATATACCCTGGATAGACATGCCTTCTTAAAAGGTATTCTACTTAAAGCTCAGACGCCCAACCAGAAACTCAGACATAGATTCCAAGACTGATATTAAACTTCCACAAAATTTTCAAAATAAAAGTATTCAGTTCATGCCTAAAAAAACGTTTCCAGCCCTGCCTGGCACAGTGGCTCAGTTGGTTGGAGCATCGTCCAGTACACCAAAAGTGTGCGGGTTTGATTCCTGGGCAAGGCACACACCTAGGTTTCAGGTTTGGTCCCTGGTTGCAGCACATACAGAAGGCAAGCAATCGATGTTTCTCTCTCCCTTCCTCTCTCTCTCTAAAAAAAATCAATAAAAACATATACTAGGGTGAAGATTTTTTAAAAAGTTTCTGAAAACTAAGAACACATATGCATGCATTCTCTTTGGGAAGATGGAATTATTTAAATACCACTACATCCTGGCTTATTTGGTTTCAATGCTAAGCATATAGTACTATAACACCTAGGATGAAAAACCTCTTTAATTGAGCAAGAGATCTGATCCTGTTAAATTACATGTGAAGAAGCTTTCACAAAAACAGAGAGCCTTTGCTAATCCTCCAGATGCGTGAAGAAGCCTCAAAGGGGTTAAAGTGGAAGGCTTATACAAACTTTGCTCCTCAGCTTCTCTAATCTCCTCCCTCTCCGGCTCCAAAGCTCCACACCGCGACGGCAGAGGAGAGCTGAATCACTCACTACCTTTCCTGCATACTCTAAACTCTTGCCTGTGAAAGGGAAACTGGGAACTTGATTCAGGCTGCTTCCATTCAAGTGTTCCAGAGAGTATATACACACCCAAACAGACATTTCTCTTGGCTCTTTGGAGTTTATAAGGAGCAAGGCAACTGAAACTGCATTCTAAAGCTGTGAGTGGCAATTGGCATTTTAAGTAACTAATAGAAGGTGTTTTTCTGTTTTGCGTTGGAAAGGTCCGATTCTTTAGGAAGATGAAAGAGAAAGCATACCTTGCACGAACATAGTCCTGCATCCTGCTTCTCTGGAAAAACAAGTCTTTCATTCTATTTTCCAGATATTCCAGAAATGTTCCTGAACAAATTGCCTGTCGGTACAAGCTTCCAAAGGGGGATTTAAACAGCTAACCCATTTAACCTGCAAGCCAGGAAAGGTAAGAGAGACTTGAAAATATTATGATGTGTTCATGGTGAAATGAGCGGCATTATTTTATTTATTAGCAGGTGTGACAAACAGGCACCATCTGCTGCAGAAAATACAGCAACTGCCACTTGAGAAAGCTTATTACTTAATGGCTCCAGACATTGAAAAAGAAGCACTTGCGGCTAGAATTGTTTTTTTAACAGGCTCATGTGGAACTAAATACTCCTAACGGCTCCTTCCTCCCTTAGTTTTCTCTTCCTCACACTGGGCAGATAAATACAAACTGAATGTCTTAACTCCCAAAAGCTGTTGCAATTGATTGTTTTGATTTTCTCTTCTGAAATGTTCCACTGATAATTTTCCTTAGCTATTTGGTGGGATTTCAGTTCTGGAATTATATAAGCAGGTGTCATGCAGAAAAATGTAAAATTATCAGTGCATTTTTTTCAGAACTTTATCATGTAACTACTAGTAGCACCTTGAGGACCAAAACAGGGATCAGGTTACATTTATCTCTATATCCCAGACTTAGCAGAGTGTTTGGTACTTTGGTTGGCACTCAATAGTTTGCTGAGTAAATGTCAACCTGATTTTTGAGATGCAAGTAGAACTTTTTTGCTCTTATTAGGAACAAGTTTCACCCAAGAAATTCCTCTCAGGGTTGATGGATGGAGAAAGCTCCACATTCCCTTCTCATTCTAAGGAGAGAAAGTCATGATCTGGGTGTCTATTTTGCTTCTGTGAGGTTAAATAGACTATGATGATATCAAATAGTAGCCAAGACTTGACATTTTAATGTTCATACCAAAAACACTAGAAGTTCTTTTTTTTTTTTTAAATTACCAAGGGTTTTATTTACCAAGTTAATGGCAAAACATGTAATCAGAAAACCAAAGGTATATTCACATTGCTTGTGGGTATTTTGATTTATATTAGAAGTGGAGTAAACCAGATGTTCAGACTAATGTTGGACATTGGCCAATTATTAAATTAATCTCTTTTACTTTGCCATTCCCCCAAACTTCCCTCCCCCTTTCCTTTTTTCACCCTTCTTTCCCAATGTTTTTCTGTTTCCTTATCTTCACCTCTACCTCTTAATCACTCATTTCTTCCCACCTCTATCCACTTCCCAAATTCCTAATCATTTTACTCCTCACATTTTCTTCCTTCCCTCCTCCTCCCTCCCCTCTATTTTCCTTCCTTTCTTTTCCTAATTCTTTATCCCCTTTTTTATCCCTCAGTCTCCTCCTTATCCCTCAACAGTTTCAATCACTTTTACAAAGACTAGAGACTGAGTTTTATTTTCTATGAGCTTTCCAGAAATGACTGCAGGACACTAAAATTCTATAAAGGTATTTCCACGAAAATCAGATCCTTCAGAATTAATAGATTTTCTACTTCTTTTGAAATCACATGGTGGTTGTTTTTTCCAAATGGTGCAGAGCTTTTAATGAAACAATCACATCATTTGCACAACTCATTTATTAGTTAGAAAACAGACCTATGACAATCCCATTTGGAAAGCTTTTAAAAAAAGTTGTCATATATAAGCCCAGCTGGCATGGCTCAATGGTTGAACATTGACCTATGATCCAGGAGATTGAGGCTCGATCCCCAGTGGGGAGTGTGCCGGTCAATGACTCTCGTCATTGATGTTTCTATCTCTCCATCTCCCTTCCTCCCTCTGAAATCAATAAAAACATATTAAAAAAAAAAAAAAGTTGTCACATATACAGGACCAGATTAACAAAGAGGATTTCCCAATACTTAACTTTTCATTTACTCACTTAAAATTCCTTAATGGATTTAAGGAATTAAATCAATCAACCTGTCTGAATTGACCAGAGTGTTTGGTGTCCTGCAGACTATGGAGGTTTTAAAGAATATATGATTAGTTTTCCAAATCCTCAAATGAAATTTTTAAAGAAATTGACAACTGTATGTGAGATTGTTGTTTACAGCTTCCACATAGAATTCTAATAAATATTCAGAACTAATAAAGATTCAGAATCGATTGTGTAGAAGGCATAAAATGTATTATCAACTGTTACTGAAAAGAATCTATAGATACAATTGAACTTTCTAAAATTTAAGGCTGTAAACCCATCCCATGTAGTTTTCCTTTAAAATTGTGTAACTGAAATAGTAATTCAAGAGCAAAGTTTCTAACAAAGTGATTATTCCCTAATTCCAGATTATAATCAGGAATTCAGTCTCCTTTGCACAATAAGAGATATGGGAGTGGGTAGGTGGAATAAAAAGAAAAGGGAATTTCAGGCTCTTCCCAAGCTATATTAGCCACCAGAGCAGAGATAAGACTGTGCTTCTCTTCAAATTGTCAGTGCTAAGTGCATTTCTTCAGTCATATCCATGCATTTAATCAACAATTATTAAGTAGCTACTGTAAGCCTGGTTATATAAGGGATAAAATGTTGAAAAATATCCTGAAAGAGTTTACAAATTACAACGTAGGGGAAAACCTAAATATCAAAGAGATATTTACAATATTAGGCAAATGTAACTTCTCTAGGAGAGATACAAAACATGTGGGAATTAGGATTTGGATGGGAAATCAAGGTCAGTTTCATGAGCTGAACCATGAAGAATTGTAGCATTTCCCCAAGCAGAGATGTGGGAAGATGTAAGGAACTGGTCAAAGATAAGCATGGAGGCAGGGAAGCAGGTAACAGTGTGCACTGCAGTTTGATTGGAAAGGAGAGTAGTGGAAAGAATTAAGGTCAGGACCAGGGCATTGACAGCCTTGAATGCCAAGCTAAGAATGAAGTCCAAAGGCAATAAGGAGCCTCAAAGGCAATATGTGGGCTTCAAAAACTTTATTCCATTTTCATCTATTAGAATAAATAAGAACAAATTGAAGATGACATATAGCTTGACACTTTTTAAAATAAAGTTCAAAACTAAACAACATGTTGTTTAGGCATAGGTGTTTGTGTGTATGTTTGTTTGTGTTTGTGTGTGTGTGTGTATAAATAAAAGCAAAGTAATGATTAACAAAACTTAGAGCATTCATTATTTCTGAGAAGTAGGTAGTAGGATGAGATGGAGAGGTGCATAGAGATGTCGTGTAAATTAATTATTTTCAATTTAAAAGTTGGTAGGTGTTTGTTCACAGGTATTTATCCATGGGTGTTTTTAAGTATGCAAAAGAGGCCCTGGTGTCCCCATGATGGCATTGAGCCATTAACCAAGGAATATGACTTATCCAAATCTATATTTGAGACCCACAGGAGACTAATGATCCTATAATACTATAGAGGTTTTCCCAATTGGCTTGCACTAGCACTGAGTGTTTCTTTTCCTTCCGCTTCTCTTCTGGAGGGCAGGTGAAAAAGTGACTTGTGAGCTATGAGGGTGAAAAATCCATTAAGCTCATATACTTGGGGCAGCAGCACTTTTAAGGAAGGGAGCTGCAGGGAGAAGAGTTGGTATGGAGGGAGGCTACTCGGACAGGCAATATATGTATAAAGCATATTTAATAAATAGCAGGGCAGCTGAGATCAAGTGATTGCTCTGTGTGGGCTGCCCAGGACTATGAGTCCTAAATTTGAAACACTCTGTTCTACTTGTAGAGTCGTGCTTCTCAGCCCTGGCTGCATATCAAAATCACCTGTGGAATTTTAAGCACTACAGATGTCCATGCCCCTACACAGACCTACTGAATCAGAACCTCTGAATTTTCAAAAAGCTTAACAAGTGATCCTGAGGGCAGCAGGGACTGGAAATCATTCCTTGCAGAAATGCTAAGTGGGCAGCTTTTCACAAATGTATATCTCAGGGTCCTATCCCCTGAGATTCTGATCTAAGGAGCAAGGGAAAGGGTCTAGAAATTTGCATTTGTAATAAGCATCTTCCAGATAATTCTAATGAAGAGACTTCCTTGGAACACCCTGAGAAAATTGCCCCAAAGTTCAAAAACACTAGGGCCTCAGGGTGATTACTCTGTGTATTCATTTCCTAGGGCTGCCATAAACAAAGTGCCACACACTAGGTAGCTTAAAACAACAGAAATGTATTCTCTTAGGTCTAAAGTCTAGACGTATGAAATCAAGGCCTTAGCAGTGTCACGCTCCCTCTTCAATCTGTAAGGTAAAAATCCTTCCTTGGCTCTTCTAGCTTCTGGCACTTGCTGGCAATCTTTGGAACGCCTTGGCTCGTAGATGCATCACTTCAATCTCTGCCTTTGTCTTCTCTCTGTATATCTGTCTTCTCTTCTTATAAGGACACGAGTCACATTGAATTAGGGCCAACCTAATGATTTCATTTTAACTTTATTATATCTGCAAAGTTTCTATTTCCAAATGAGGTTGGATTCACAGGTTCTGGGTATTAGGACTTCAACATATTTTGGGGGAAAAACAGTTCAACCTATAACACTATTTTAAATAGTTTTCAAAAGTAGGGCCCCCAAACAACCAATGAGACAGATTAGCTATGTTCTTTAGCTGGGCTGTCTAGATAGAAAGACTGATAGTTAACTCTCAAAACTTGTTGTGCAAAAAATTTGTGCTTAGAATGCATTTTCCTGAGCCTTGATCCTAGATATTAGAATTCAGTAGGCCTGGAAAAAGGCCTAGGAATCTATATTTTAAATGATGTAGGGGATACATGCATCACACTCTTGAGAAAAGCTGGATTTGAGAGAACAAACAAGGTCAAGAAACAAATGGTTTGAGGAAAAGGAGATGCCAAAAGCATACCCTAAAATCTGTGTTTGTAACAAGCTAATGGTGAGCCATTACCTTTGGGGCACGGCATTTCTAAAGGATACCTACTGTCATTGTCTTTTCCACTTGTTAGTGAATCAGAAATCAAAGTAGATATACTTTTAATTATTGCAAAAGTATCTTCTAGACCATTGCTCCAAAGGCAGTAGAAAGAGACGCAGTCTCTTTGCTCTTGTTTCTTGTGAACCAGGTGGTTCTGCATAGGTGGTAGGGACAGTAGATAAGTAGACTAAGAATCATGCAACTTACAGAAAGTGGGCTAGTGAATATAAACTTTAAGCTGAAGTGCTCCCAGGCTGGGGGCAAAATTCAAGATCATAAGAAGAGTAATGTGATTATTGGAGCTACTTCTTAACTCTCCTTGGGTAAGTTAACAAGCGACAGAAGTAGGCTGCATTGTCAGCTCTCTGCTATAGCTGCACATAGAAGTTTGACAGGTGGTGGTGGTTTATATTGTTTATTTTAGTCACCCATATTCAAAATTCATGTTTACATTTTTAAATTTTTTTTATATGTTTTTATTGATTTCAGAAAAAGGGAGAGGGAGAGGGAGAGAGATGACTTTAAAAACTACCAGTCATCAATGATGAGAGAGAAACATCGATCGGCTGCCTCCTGCACGCCCCCTACTGGGGATGGAGCCCTCAACCTGGGCATGTGCCTGGACTGGGAATCGGACGGTGACCTCCTGGTTCATAGTTGGACGCTCAACCACTGAGCCACACCGGCAGGGCCAAACTTCATGTTTAGAATGACAAGCTAAATCATTTTGGAAGACTTTAATAGTAATTAGTTGACCCTACTTACACACTAGAATGTTTTTGCCAATATAGATAAGGTCCTGTCTTTATCAATAATAAAAGATGCAGTTCCTTGCTCCCAAAAGACCTACCCTCTCAGTTCCTTCTGATCTACAAATACTGGGGGAAAAAGTGTATTCTCACCCCCACAGACCTAAATGAGAGAGCTAGAATGCAACAATAAAATTGGGGTAAGCCTGCATTCCTTAAAATTCCACAATTTGTTAAAGTGACCCATGGCACTGGGACCTGGAGTTTGAAAATGAATCCTTAGATTTAGGTTTTCTTTAGTTCATTGCTAGGCTTTCCTGGTTAAACTAGAGAAGTGGTTCTCAGTCCTGACTGTACTATAGAGTAACTTGGGCAGCTTTAAAAAATACCAGTCCTTGAATCCCACCCCACACCATTAAAATCTGACTCTCTAGAGTGGTACCCAGCCCCTTACTGTGGAGATTATGATTCAGAACATCTTTGTTGGAGCCCAGGGCCTATATTTTAATTAGTACCTCAGGTAAATCTTATGATCAGTTAATCTGGAAAACACGGTTTTAATGCAGCTTAGTTATTAGGTGTTCAGTAATATGAATTTTTCTTTAACCTTTTAATAGTTATTCACCACATAGAAAAAACATTCAAAATGATAAAAACTCAGGATATTATTTTTAAACTAATTTGCCCATAGCAAACCATTTTGCAACATAGCAGTTAATTTCTACTTTAAAAAATTTGACACCTGTTTTTCTTAGATACTGGAATCTTTTATTTTTGTTTTTGTTTTTTTATTTTCAGGAAAATAATTCTGTTGAAGAATCTTAAGAGTGAAATCTTCTGAGGCTATACCTACTGCTGTCAGCACCTCTGAGACTTCTCCATCTAGGAATTACCAGGTCCGACAACACTTTTCCTCCAGCCTACAATGAGGGGTGTCAAAAAAAAACTGTAGAAAGTACATCCTCTAGACTTATAGCCCTCAAGCTGTGCTAACTGTGCAGGAACCTTATAAGCTCCATTCTTAGATTCCAAAAGACAAGAAGGGTGAAAACTCAGATAAGCTAAGCCTGAAATATACAAAAGCCTTTAGAAAGTCTCCTCATAGAAGAACCTGAGTAAATTCACATAATTAGTGCAGGCATTAAGATGAGTTGAAGGTAAAACAGAGCCCTTTCTCCTATCAAAACAGAGCAGAAGTTTGATTTAATACTCTAAGAGATTCTTGTCTCCATGCCAGTATTATAATTTCACAATTTTTATTTTAATTAGTTATAGAGTAGGACTATGAAAAATAAAAGATTTATTTATAAGTGTATATTTCAAATGATTAAGAAATTCCAATAAAACCTATTTGAGAGGGGAGTGCTGTGCTGGAGGACAGAGAGGGTGTGGCAATTGCCGAGTTAGAATGTCACCATTTTCTTGCTTGTGCACTACTGACTTGGCTCTGGTCATGATTGCTTTGTAGGAGACTGTTAGAAAACATCCAGTATATTCAGAGACAGTACAAGTGACTGTGGAATGCCTGAAGGGCAATAGAAATCAAATAGAAACAAGTACCTACTCAAGTCTTGAGTGATGACGGAGGCGCATTTCAAGTACCATGGAACTCTCACTGGGTGGACCCATTTCCCCACCCCCACAACAGAGGTTAACACCACTTTAGATAAGTATTCCAACCTGTACATATATGTGGGCTTATTCCTGAGCCTCCTGGCCATTCTCCTCCTCCTGCTTTTCATAATGCTCCTTCGGCTCAAACATGTCATCTCACCCATCAACTCTGAGAGCACAGAAAGTGTTCCTGAATTCACAGATATAGAGATGCAGAGTCGAATCCCCACTTATTAAAGCCAGAATGAATATGAGTTTTAGTGGATCTCAGTAAACCCTTGTACGTTGATGTCCAGGGAAGCTTACTTTGTTGCATGTAGCTTCCCCTGTAGGGAATCAACAAGTTGTTCATTTAACAAAAAGTTGTTCGTGTTTTCTTTGTGTTATTCTTTATCTTGACTCTGTTTGTGGGATAACTAAGAGACTTAATACTCATTCTCTGCTAGGAATATAAAAAATGGCAGCTGGTGGGAGGGCAGGTTTCCATAGTAACCAAAGAGCCAGGGCCTTGAGCAAACCTCAGACCACAGAAATTCATATACAACTATTGTAAAAAAACACAGGATTCCTAGAAGCTCGAAGAACAAGGAAAATTTGCCTTCAAAAGGGCTGATTGTTCAAAGAGGGTGCCCCAAGAAAAGGACAAGTCTTAATTTAGCACTTGGATCCTAAAGAATCACTTCTGCTGTCATGAAGCTAAATCATGTCAGAAGTTAATGGAAAGGACCATAAACCCCTTCCCAAAGGAGCAGTGATTTTATCTAAGGCCACTGGGTTTGAACCAAATGAAAGAAAAGATTTAAAGAAATTGTTTCAGTTTAAAGAACAACTTTTCAGAAAGAAGTTTCCAGTCAACGAACTCATCTAGAGAAGGAAAATGTGCATTTGATATCTGTGTTATTACTATTATTAGAGTTTTGAAAACTCAGACAATGACAGATGTATTACAAAAATCTGGAACGATGAACTTGCCCAAAACCAAGGGAAAACTAAGTCAAAATGTGTTAATGACATTGAACCTTACATATGGTACAGCTTCATTGTCCCTTTCTCCCTTCCTATCATGCTCCAGGATTGAGTTGCGCACAAGTATGAGTTTTGTTTAAAGGTGGCCTTAGCAAAGAATACTCAACTGTAATTTGAAGCAGAAATGAAATAATATTATTCTGTTGTTAAATGATTATGGCTTTGGACAAAACATTCAAGCCTCTGGGTGCCAGGTTTTACTTTCTGAAAAATTATCAGAGAGCTATTTAGTCATCACTAGACTCCTTTTAGATCTGAGTGTAAGACACACAAATAGAGGCAAAGGAGGAAAGGACGAAACACCACCCTCCAACAAATCTTTACTGAGATCAATGTCCTCAAATTCACATTTGTCTTTCCCAGAAAATGAACCTCCCTTCCTGATCCCTACCAAAAAATGAAGTGTTTCACTTATTACCTATAAGAGAAATATATTTTGAAAAATTCCATTCTCATAAGTAGCCCTAGTATGCCAGTAGAAGAAACAGATCGATTTTTAAAAATTAATGTTCCAAAGGGGAACCAAAGGAAATGAGTACTGATTACAAATTAGAAATGAGAAGGCTGGTTATATTTTTGCCACCAAAGAATTAATACACCTGTGTTAAGTTCTGCCTGCTTAAAAAAAAAAAATCAGTTCTCTCTTGCACCTAAAAGGTGGTCATCAAATTTCACAAGATGCTCCCTCAGGAACTGCAGTGGTGGTAAGAGAAAAATGGAATGGAGGTTACGTTAATGCCACCTCCACTGGACATACAGCTCTCTCTAGCCTGTTACCAATTTAGATTGGCCCCTTTACTCTGCTCTAAATCTAGCTTGGTGGTGAAATTCCCAAGTGCTTTCTACTTTTATACACAGTCATTTGCCAATACTCCCCTCTCCAAGGGGCTGCAAGTGTAAAATCCCCACATGCAGAGCTAAACTTAGCAGCAGGGCTGACTCTGGCACACCTGTTACAAAAGTTTGCTGTTAAGAGATGGCAGCTGCGTTCTGCACCATTCAGAATAGATCAGCAGGTAGCCTAAGACAGAGCATACACTTCCCTTTTGGTATTATATTTTCCCAAGTGACAAGTGACTCATATTATTACATTTGGTGGTTTAAGTTGTGTCTTTATTCAACATCCAGGCTCCATATACCCTTTAAAATGTTAGTTCTTGGCAGCCATACATAGACTTCCTCAAACGCTGGCAATATAACCCAGAACTTCTTAAGGACACACATCTCCCCTCTCCCTTTTGTGCTCACAGTATTTGAATGCACTATAGTTAAGAAATCAGTAGCTGGATAAATGAGGAAACTGATTAAACTTCCAACAGTAGTGAATAGCAAGAGGCCCAATGCTTTGTTGCTGAACCTAATGAACAGACAGGCTGCAAATTTATTCCCTCTCACCTACTTCCCCAACCCAAATTTTAGGAGTTTAAAACTGCTCTTTAATCACTGACGTGGATGAAGATTCCTAATTTATGATTAGGCTACTCACCTGGAAAACAAACACCCTCTTTCATCACAACTGCCCCATGGGATCCAGATCTTCATTGAGCATTAATCAAAGCACACAGCACAGATTACAGATTGCACTAAAATAGTAGCATAACCACTCACAGCTTCCAGTGACAACATAAATGGAGATGAATTTAAGCAGATGTGTCATTATGGTGACTTACATGGTATTTAATCTTTAGGAAAATAAATTCAATGGTTTCATCATAACAGACACTGTAAAGAAAATAATTTTTTATTTATATCAAATTATACTATATCCCCCAGATATTACTGCTCAAAGAGGCAGCTAGAACAATAGGCATAATTTGAATTTACCCATTTATCCAAAATGCTGACTTATCAATTCCCTCCCCAACCCCCGCTGTCCAGAATATTTCACATTAGTCTAAATGTATACAAACAGATTGTTAGGTTGTTTATATATAGATCTATTCTGCTTTAAGGTGAAAAAAATGATTCTTTACTTTTTATTATGCTAAACCATATGTAATGGCCATTTCTGTAGGTCAAAAGTGCTCAAATATTGGCAATTTCATATAATTTAACCTAATAAAAAGACACGATATATGAATTCTTTAATGGTAAACTCTCTTATCTTTAATAATAATTAAATGTCTAAAAATGTACTTTGCATACATTTAAGAATCATGGGTTGTATAAAGCAAGGTATATCATAAAAGGCTTATATATTATGTATGAAGTATTAGGCAAGAAATATTAAGGTTAATCAAGATGGGTTCATCCAGCCTAACCTTTCCATTCATGCCAAATCTGAGGCTTTGGATTCATAACTGAGTTTGACTGCTGCAGACCCTACCGTACTTGCTAAGTAGTTAAAAGAGGCCCACTTAATGCAATTAAATGTTTATATTTAGTAATACATTTTATTCGCTTGCATTTGTACAAAAGGAAGTTTTTCAACAAAATAAAGAACTGTATGGAAGAAATTGGGTTTCTTGTGTTTGAAATAATTAATATTTTAAATAGATTCATAGTGTATAAAAACATAAATATAATATTTGAATTCATATTTAGCACATCATTTTTATCCCTGGAAAATAAATTCTCTTTGGTTTGCTGATAAGAAATATCTATTGTCTGAAGAATGTAAAGAGCTTAGTCTTGTTATTCCTATATAAATTTGTGGGATTTATAATTTTGATGTGTCATTATTTCTTTTAATCCCCAACCTCCCACCTCTTATTTCTCCCCACCGGCAAACTTATGGATGTGTTAGTTTGTTTCTTTAGTAGTAAGATTTGAAAAATAGATAATGACTATAAGTTGTCAATGAAGGTGACTTGAGGTAAGAATGAGATAAAGCAACTGAAGTGCTGATAACTTTCAACATCACCCTGCCCCCTGTAGTCTATTTTTTTAGATGTACTTTCCATTTTGTGCTTTCTTCTTTTGATCCTCACAGCAACCATGTGAGTAATGAGTGAAGGTATTATAGTCTGTTTTACAAAAGAGGACATGAGCATAAAGAGATTAATAAGGCATTCATGGTTATACAAATGCTGAGTCAAGGTGACACTGCCAGTCTTAGGATTCCTAGATTAGTACTCATCCCACCATGCTTTGCTTTCTGAGTACTAAATAAATATTTTAAACCTATCCATTTTATAACACTCCAAGTTCTGCAAGCAATAATTGAGTTGTACAGATGATTAACTCCCTGTGCCCAAATTCAAAACAAATAAGCAGAATTCAGCCATCGCTTTAATTTTATAGACTCAGCAACACATGTTAATAGGAAAGTTTACACAAAAGCAAACCCTGCAGCTTTAATTTACATGAATGAAAGGAAGAGACAGAAATATGGATGGATTATCACACACAATACAAATGCCAATTCTCTGACCATCTGACTTAATCTTCACAGTCACTGCCAGTTTTTCATATCTACGATCATCTGTTCCCATCACCTCTAGAAATGAGCATACCTCCCCTAAGGTAAAAATAGTGTTCTTATTTAAAATTGTATAGTGTTCTAAATGTACACAGCAATTCAACTTGTGTTCTAAAATAAATGAAGTGACATTAAAAGAGAGAGAATTACTGGTTAGAGGAGCTTCCTCTAGCCACAAAGAATGAATTGTTATACTTGTAGAAAAAGGAGACAAGAATATGGGACATATGTAGAGCAGGCAAAGTAAATTCACACATTAAATATAGGTGAGGAAATTTTGAAGAATAACTTGAACTATTCCAAGTGTTCCAATTAATTTTCACATTAAGAATTTATTGATTAAATCATATGCAAATATGGGGGAGAATCAGAGAGACAGGTTATATGGAGTATTGGGCTTGGCTCTGTGGGGATCTAAAGTTTGCAATCAGAAAGTTTACAATCTGGCAAAGATGATAAGTACCTAAATTCACTTATTCGTTCAACATTTATTCAGCACCTACTGAGTGTGCTAGCACTGAAAACAAGACACAGTCTATGCCCTGGTAAAGATTATAGCCCACTGGGATGGACAACACCAATCAGATAGTTACAAGAATACTGTTGTATAATGGAGAAGTATAGAGTGCTCGGCTACATATAAAGTGGAGGTGATGCTGCCTAGCCTGGCCTAGAGTGTCAGGGAAAACTTTCCTAAGGAGATAATATCTAATCTAAAATCTAATGGATGAGCCAAAGGAGAGAATAGGGCAAACGTTCCATAGAGAGAACAGCATGTGCAAAGATTCTGAGGTCAAATAAACTTGGCACACTTGAAGAGGCACAGTGATCGAGGTGACATCTCCAGAAGGCTGGAAAGGTTGATAGAAACAAGGATATGCAGGGCTTTGTGGACAATGTTATGGGTTTTTTACTTTATTTTAAGCATAGAAAAGAAGAGAACTCTGGCAGCAGTGTGGAGGATAGACTGAAGAAGGTCAAGAGTGGATACAGGGAAACCAGTCGAGAAGCTCTGGCAGTGGTTCAGGAGACAGGCGATATAATACCTTACTTAGACTTAACCACCAGCAAGTGGGTAGGGATAAAGAGAAGTAAGTAGCTTTGAGATAGGTTTAGGAGACAAAATCAGCATTACTTGCTGATGAACTGGATAATAGGGATAAGTAAGAAGGAAGAATCTAGAATGACTTACTGGTTTCTTGTTTGAACAACGGTCTGGTGGCTCTTTTCACTGAGAGAGAGAACACTAGTAGATTAGGAGATCAAGAAGGAAATAAATTCAGTTTTGGACATGTTTAGCTTGATGTGCATTTAGGATATTCAGATGTAGTGTTGAACAGGCAAGTGAATATATGGGTTTGGAGCTCACAGAGTTTAAAGCTGAATATATGAATTTCAGAGGTGTTAATAGATGACACTGCCTAGGCAGGGGTTGTTCAGTAGACTAAAGAGAGAATGACAATAATGGAATAAAGAATATGCCCTAGCCCAGCTGAGCGTGGCTCAATGGTTGAGAATCGACCTAGGATCCAGGAGGTTGTGGTTCAATTCCCGGTCAGGGCACTTGCCAGGGTTGCGGGCTCGATCCCCCGTTGGGGATGTGCAGGAGGCAGCTGATCAATGACTCTCTCATCAGCTGATCAGTTCTTCTCTCTCTTTCTCTCTCCCTTCCTCTAAAATCAATAAAGATATATTTAAAAATATATATATGCCCTAATATGCCACCAGCTCCCATTTTGGATGGTTCGTTACTTGTCAAGTAGGTTGAGAAAGATTACTTTTAAGGGTCTCCAAACTAAGGCAGATTACCAAAGATACTTGGGAGCAGGAGTAGAAGAGTGATTCAGAGCCAAAGTCCTTTGGGGAGAGGGAAGACTCCAATCTGGGGAGACCAAATGCAAACATTAAGTACAAAGTTTAGGGGCAAGACCACAAATAACAGGGAAATAGAGCCAATAATTGGAAGCCACAAACCAATGGAGCAGTGTAGGTACAGTCATACAAAGAGGTTCCTGTGAGTTTACAGTGAACAGGGGTGGGTTAAAAAAAATCACAGCTATGTGATTATATTGATCATAGTCCTGGCAGTAAACAGAAGGCATTCCCAAAAAGGGTGAGTAAAGAAACTTTAAAGAAGGGACTATTTACAAAGGGGTGGGTAGGATTAAGGGGACGAGAAGAGATGGCAAAGCATCCAGGGATTATCAGTAGAAGGAGGAAACTACTATCAGTTCTAGGCTTGAAGGGGAAAAGGGAGGGAGCTGCTATTGGAATCTTACATGTCCTGTAGCCATGAAAAAGAAACTAACAATCTATGTTCTTAGGCCAAGAAGCAAAGCCAATAGTGGGCAAATGGGTTTAACAGCCCAAACACTTTCTCCTCCACCTTCCATAATGCTGGCACAGATTGAATCCATGTGAAAGTCAAAGGACTAGCAAACCCAGGTGATGCAATTTGTAAAAGTCAGCCTCCTAGAGCAAAGAGCAGGGTGGAGAAGGCTTTGGTGAATGGATCTGGAAGAGAGGACAGAGAATATCCAGTACAGAAGTAAATAGGCAGGTTGGGATGGCTTAAAGATCCCACTTGAGGTTTACTGAATATGATTTTGTAATAAAATAGACAAAACATACTAGAGATTTTCAAAGGAGATGTATCATTCAAGACCAATCAGAAAAACCATAACTACTCTACTTCAAATAGAAAGAAATTAATACAAGGAATTGATAATGCAGGTGATAGAAGACAAATGAAGCTAGTGAAGCAACCGAAAGATTAGCAAAAGAAGAGAGCTAGCACCAATCTTAGGACTGGAGAAACAGTGGGAAGAGGCAACATTACCAGAGCTCAGAAGCTGGAACCTTCAGTAATCCCTAGAATTATGCAAGGGCCTGCCTGTTGGAAGCTGAAGCCACAGAAAGGACTACCTTGTAAAATCTGGGGCCTTAAAAGGACTCTCTGGCAGGAGCTATGACCATGGAGGGAAAAGATTTTGAGCCAGTTTTGGCAAAAACATGCTGTGATTGATTAATGCTGCCTTTTATAGTGGAAGGGTTAATAGAGGCAGGCATGCCATATATCTTTCATTATGGACATCGGTATATTTCCTTATGTCATGACTGTGTAGCATGGAAATATAAAGTGTTAGCTGGGGGCAGAATTTCTCCTAGGAAGAAAACTGTCTTTATCTGGCAAAACACTATAATTGGTCATTTTACTGTGGTAAGATAGCCCTCAGAGTATAGCTGGTTTGGGCGAAAAGCAAGAAAAAGATAAACTGCAACGTAAAAAATGAACATATGCCCGGCTGGTGTGTTCAGTGGTTAAGTGTCGACCCATAAACCAGCAGGTCACGGTTCGATTCCTCGTCAGGGCACATGCCTGGGTTGTGGGCTCCATCCCCAGTAAGGGGCAGCCTATCAATGACTCTCTCTCACCACTGATGTTTCTATCTCTCTCTCCTTCTCCCTTCCTCTCTCTGAAATCAATTTTAAAAATTTAATAAATGAACATATATTTTAAGGGTTGTCACACATGAACTAGAGATCAGTGGTTAAGAATACAAAGTAGACCGGGACCTAGCAACATGGCAGGAGGGTGGAGGCCAAGCAAAAAAGATAACCAG